TTTCACCAGTCTATTTTGTTGATTTTGCTGCTTTCCTGTACTAATACTAGTAGTTTGCTGTCAAGCTTAGGTTAGTTTTTCATTTTATTATACTGTGTACACACCTACACTTGATGATGTCACTTGTAGATTTCGCGTACGTAATTCCGCATTCATGTTTGGAGAGACTCTGGCCTCATTACAAATTTATCTTCAATTCCATTTCAATTCAATTCATTTATTTTTCCTCTTTCAATCGTTCATGTTACAATGATGGTACGTTTTAACATATTCACATATTTATATACATATAGATCAATTTGCACAATACAATACATAAAACAAATAAACATGAAATTGAAAGGACAGGAGGGCCGACTAAAAAGCAGAGCTTGTAGGGTGTAAGCCCCCCTGTAAAATTAATTATTATGAATTATTATTTCATGAGAAAAAACAACAACAATAACATTAACTGATTCAGTAATATATACAAAAAAATCACTTTTAAACGCAAAGCATTGATGAATACATACATGTTTATAAAATAAACAATCAAAGTTGCATAAGGTCACACTACAAATTATATTTGATTGGGGAATGAATGCAGTAGCCTAGTAACTATTCAGAAGAAAGCTTTTAAATCTCCTTTTGAAAATTTGTATCGAATTTCACTCTATAAATCATTTGAAAGAGAATTCCACAGTTTTGGGCCTGTAAAAACAAATGTCTTTTGTGCAAAAGATGTTCTATTTAATGGTAGATGAAAAGAGCTCACCTGGCGAGTGAGGTTACTATAAATCGAATCATTTCTTACGAACATATCATTAAAAGGCAAAGATAATTGTTAGTGTTGAGCTTGTACATTAACTGTCCATGCTGTAAAATATTCAAGTCTTTAATTTTTTAAATGTTATTATTCAGAAAAAGATTATTCGTGTATTCCCAGAAATCTGCATTATTAATAATACGAATCGCTCTTTTTTGTAATATAAAGAGTCTATTATTTGGGAAGTTGCTGCACTGCCCTAGGAAAAAAGTCCGTAATTCAAGTAAGGAAGAATAAGCGTAGAATACAAGGATAACATAATATAATGGGGTGGAAGTGTCTTAATTTGCTAAGAAGGCTAATCCCCCCCCCCCCCCGACTAAAACTCAGGTGAATTCCAAATCCCAAAGAAAGTAAATGGGCAGCTAGGAAAGCCCCAATCCATCTTTACCAACTATACAAAGAAGTGCGGCGAAGCGTCTTTTAAATTGGGGTACACCAACAAAAAAGGGTACTTTCTAGGAAAAGGGCATCTACAAATGGTAACCTCAGAGCAAAAAAAATAAAAAAATTGAGACATTGTTTTGTACCCCCTAAATTGTAATCAATGCACTATCAGGTATAATCTACGAGATTTTTTCTTTAAGTTGTCCAAGACACTGCCTCAGAACCAAACTTTGCCTTTGTTTGTGATGTCTGAAGATTTTAAGATCTGTGAGGTCGCATTGCTATTTAGGGGAAATTTGAGAGAGAAAATACTATCACTCGTTTTGATTAGGGGGGCATAGTATTAGAAAGGAATGAGACACGTATCAAAAGTAACAAGTGGAACTTATTATAATAAAAAGGAACATGTCGCTATTATAATGTGCCTCTATAAGAAGGGAAAGGACATTTATTAGAAAGGAAAAGGGGACGTATCGAAGTAAATTGGGCACATGTCAGATGTGGGAAGGGGCACTTCTTATAACAAATGGGTACCTATTAGAAGGGGGAATTCACTTATCTGCATTAAAAAGGGACACTTTAGGGATACTTCAAAAAGTGGGGGCACTGTGCCCCCTTGCCCCCGGGAGCGTCACCTCCGATACCAAAAGAAGCTTGCAGGGGTGGAATCCTAGGGGTAGTTGCTTGGGGCTAAAGGATTTGAGGGTAGATAGCTGGTGTAACTCACTCTTAAAATGGTTTTGTTGTCGAGAATGAGCATGCTTGCAGAATAAGGGGATGCAGTCTTTCATGTCTTTATTTTTGCAAGCGAGCGAAGTAAGGGAGCAAAACATTTCATACACGGAAAAAGAGGCCTATTATATAAAACACCAATATCTGAATATAATATAATAAGTCGTAAGAAAAAAACATGAGGATCAGTATTTTCACGGAGTGGGTTGCATTGCACGATCCCGCATTCCCATGCCCAAGGTGCCCCATTGCATGTAGCAGGGGTTCTCAATGTTTTGGTTTAACGGTCCAGGTATGATTTCCATGAAAGCTAAAAGGTCCGAAACAATGGGCAAATAAAGTTTAATTACTCAATTATTTTCTTACATATAAGTTTGTAATATTATGCATACGTGTTTATACGTGTACCTTAATTTCAAGAGTTAAGACATTCAAAAGTGGAAGTTATGGTATATTTTTGCGTGTAGGGTATATACACTGTCGCTCATTTAGTTGGAATATTTTTGTTTTACCCCAATTTCTGGAATTATTTTAAAAATAATTTAAAAATAATAGATCTAGATAATAGTATACATTCTCAGATTTTATTGAATAATAATTTGCCAATGTGTGTTTTGCGTGACTGCTAAAGCACGTGTATGCTACTTTGCTTATCAACTAGGGGACCTACGCCCTTAAGTCATAAATGAAAGTAATGAGGACTAATGCCCCACAAAAGGGCACTAATATAGCACATCGACACGGTTTTGATCCTGGGGCCTCACAGTTACGAGGCCAATGCTTTGTCACTGAACCATGACTGTACGCAGCGGGGACTAGGGTAGGGGGCAGTTTCCATAAATAAATAAAAACACAGAAAATGCAATAAATTTTCAATAATTGCATTTTATCCCGGTCCCCAACGTTAAAAAAATCCTCTGGACGGCCATGCATTATGGCTCGAGGCATGGGCACACAGAGGATTTTTCTCTTCAAAATGTGATCAATATTCATGTCATTTATTGATTCCCATAGCATCAAGAATGTACGAACGTGTTCAAAGTTTACAGTTTACATCAATAAATGTTCAGCATAATATTTTAGGTAAAGCCACCATATTTTCGATTTATATTGAACTAAAACTTTAGACCCCACCCCCCCCCCCCATCCCCCACCCTTGGGCTCAGTTTTTAGGTTTAATTATCTTTATAGAATGGTTTGATAGTTTACTCATATACTTATAAATCGACTGATTTGTTGCACATATTGTCGTAGGAAGCGTACTCATAAGCGTTTTGTGAATGCTTCTATAGGCTATCGCTTTAATCTTATCTGCTCCAGTTCTATATAATTATATTCATCAGCTACTGATCATAAGTAAATATTTCTCATTATGTTTTTTTAATCTTTGCTAAACGATTTTAGTATTTGTAGTATAATTCATTTTTCAGCTGAAATGTCATTTTTTAAAGGAATTTTTCATTACCGAATTGTTCATTCAAGGCCCATGGAAGACCACTCTTCAAGATGAATGGGCTACCGTGACTAAATATTAGAAATAAATGAATAAATAAATAAATGGAAATTTCAGTTTTGAGATGGATCAGAACATTTTCTGATGACTCTGGTGTCGATGATGATGATGATGATGATGATGATGATAATAATAATTTTGATTATAATGATGATTATGATGATGTTGATAATGATAATGAGAGTGGTGGTAATGATGGAGTTGATGATGATGATGATGATGGTGGTGGTGACGGTTATGAAGTTGATAATGATGGTGTTAATAATGCATATTTCATTATGGATAGTGATGACGATTTGATGTGGATAATGGTTTATTCCAGTGCTCGATTGAGAAGTTGTTTGAAGTTGTTTCGGCATGCATTAAAAAATGTCGAGGGTGTGCAAATAGGGGCTACTGCCTATAATGCCCCAGTGTTATCATTGTGAAATTAGACGATGTGCTTATATGTGTAGGTATGATTTGAATTTGTATAAATAAGATGGTTAACAAGAGATAATACTAACTGAATACCCCTTAGACCTTAGAATTGCCTCTATTTGGAATTGTATCGACCGTTAGGATTTTTCTCCACTTGGGAGAAAAGTACGCTTGGAAAACAGTCTCCTGTTTCAGTCCTTGTGTACCGCGTAGCCGTACGTTTTGTCTGATTAGAGACTAAATCAGTTTCATTTTGGTCATTACAACTAACGGTTTACTATTGTATACAAATGATAATGTACCCTTCACTGTTATGTAAGTTATTAACAAGGAATTGAAGGAAGACAAAAGTTAGTTTGTCAAAAGAAATTGGTGTCTACAAGTAAAGAATAGAAGGTAAACGGTTTTCCATTTGAGAATACTAGATCACTGCTGACTTTTTCCAATTCCCATTCCATTTACCTCTCGTTTGCCTATTATTCAACTTCAGGAGAGGAAAACTTAACAGCCATTTAACATAATCATGATTCATCAATTAAAATCAAAGACTTCTAACGAGTTCCTTTTGACGGCAACATTCTTACATTAAGTGCACAATGACGTGTTGTTGCGGAAAATATGTTTAAAGACAAATACTGATGAAAGAACACAAAATTTGATTTTTCTGCGTACAACAGCAAATTGAAATTCTGTTATCAACACCAATATTTGTCTTCAACAAACACTTCCACCTCACTATGCAATTTATTTGGAATATTGCCATCAAATTTGTGGGGCTCCCGAAGCCTTAGAGGCTTTAAGCTGATAAATCATATATTTCATCTTTATCCGATGATTTTAAATTGATTAGCTATGTTAGGGTACCAATATAAGGGGCACTTTATAGAAAGACCTTCACTCCCTCCTCCCCCTTACCAGAATCTACAGTGCACTTCGGATACCAATAACATACACATATGCGAGCGAGTTCTCTCTCTCACACCCACACACGTGCACGCGCATACGCACACATATACACACACGAACACACGCACATGCACACATACACACACACACACACACACACACCTCTAGTTCGTAATGTAGTAAATAAATACAGTTGATTTAAGTTAATGCAGAATGATTAAAGACACATAGCGTAAGTAAATGATATTCCAAAGTTTATTAATTGTTATCAGGACCATATTTAAGGTGTATATCTTTTTGCAAAGTTTCATTAGTTGCAGTACAAACCATATTCAAATTGATTTGGCTTAATATCGACATGAAATATTTCTGAAATGCATTTTTATAGAAGTCTTAAATGTAAAATGCCATATTGCATTATTATATATCAAACAATGCAAGCATAGAGTGTGAAAATACATGACTTCAATTTAGAGTTAATCCGCATACACCCGCCCCCCTCTGAAATAAAATAAAACATCGTGACTAAAAAGGAGATTTCTAAACAAGTCATACAGGTACGACATCAAGAAGAAGTTATTGTTCTCTTAAAGGTACTGTGTCCCTTCTGCAGCCAACATCAAAGTCTTTATAACTTTGCAGGAATTATGAATATGTCACGTATGTCCGATTTGTTAAATTTAGACATTAGCAGTGTCTTAGTATTCAAATTAGGCAAGGAAAGCAATTTACTTTCTAGACGTCACTGTCAGACACTATTGATTGACTGAATAACTTCCTTTTTTCTTTGGTAATGCCATCCATCAAATGAGCTCTTAAGGTAACCTACATAACCCACTTCTGGTAAAGGCCAAAATTAAACTTATTGAATATTTGCCCAACACAAAACATAGGACCATTCGGTACAAGGGTATAAAAATCAAACTATTTCCTAAAGTGATTTAAATTACTGAAGTCGATTCGTCAACTAATGGTCGTTATTTTCCCACAAAAAGACATTTTCAACCCTTTTGTTTTGAAGGAATTCCTAAAATAGTATTATCTTTCAAACGCCATTGGAATATAACTTTTCATTTTTGTTGTTTAGGCCTGCAAATGGGACATAGTACCTTCAATTCATTTGGCAATCTACATGTACATTTTAATTACATCTTACTGTAATTCTCCTTATTCATCGCCATGGTATATACTATATATGGCTCACCCCTTAAGCCCCACCCCTGCCCTACTACGCACTACAACGCACAAACTGACTACGCACAGAAATAAATTCCCGCCCCTGTAATAAGGATATACTAGAGCGTTTAATAATAATAATAATAATTGTAAATTTATAATGCGCAGTTTCTATATGTATATACTCAACTGCGCATGACATAATGATAGTAAAAGGAACAATACAAATAAACATTCCAACCGAGTGAAGGGGTCGGCGTCGACCATTATTACGTCACTGGTTTTAGTTTTGGTCACTCCTCATCATCTGGTCAATGGCCGCGATGACAGCGGGATCGACAGGAATGGCGAGGAACTCTTCAAGCGAGATCATCTCATCAGCTGCGAGGATGCATGGAGAGAAAGGATTGAACAAGAGAGATGCGTGAACAAAAAAGAGCCTGTGAATGGTAAGATCGATAATAATAAGTGAGAGAGATTAGGGACAGATCCAGGGGGCACGTGCCCCCCCCCGCCCCCCCCCCCCCGACAAAAACAAAACAAAATTAGTGCGCACTACCCCCCCCCCCCCCCCCCCCACACTGAGCGTTTTTCACATTTTCGGGAGCAAAAAAATATATAAATTTGCCCTCTTATCCCCCCCCCCCCCCGCTTATTCAGCGGCTGGCTGAGTCGTTGAAATTGTTGTGGGACCCAGACAAAAAATATATGTCCTCTAACCCCCCCCCCCCCCCACACCCCCGTTGCGATTTTTGGACCCCCCCCCCCCCAAAAAAAAAAAAAAATAAATAAATAAATAAATAAATAAATAAATAAATAAATAAATAAATAAATAAATAAATAAATAATGTCCTCTTACCCACCCCCCCCCCCATACCCCCATCGAGCGAATTTGCGGCCGGCGCGATTTTCAAATTTTTGGGAGCAAAAAAAAAAAAAAATATTTGTCCCCTTACCCCCCCCCCCCCCCCCCCCCCCCCCCCCCCCCCCCCCCCCCCCCCTCCCCCACCACCCCGCTTATTCAGCGGCTGGCTGAGTCGTTGCGATTTTTTTGGGGGAGCACAAATATATATATATATATGTCCTCTTACCCCTCCCCCCCCCCCGCTTATTCAGCGTCTGGCTGAGTCGTTGCGATTTTTTGGGGAGATCAAAACAAATATATATATATGTCCTCTTACCCCCCGTGTGCCCCCCACCCCCCCCCCCCCCCCTCTCCGGGAAGAAATTCTTTGATCCGCCCCTGGAGATGATTACCTCTATTATATATTTTCGCTAACTAACAGCGATCTAGCTGGTGGTACCGTAATTCAGTGACACTCTCTATTCGAAATTACTTTACAGAGCAAAATACCCCCCCCCCCCTCCACTCCGGGAACGGAAGGACCGCATGCGTGTTCCCAAAATCTCCGGCTCGTAACAAGAGAAAAAGGTCTACCCGTATTGACTTTACACACCATACTTATGCGGAAAGGGGAGGGGGTGCTGCAAAGGCTCGCATAACAAAATAAAAAGGTCTACCCGTATTGACTTTACACACCGGACTAAAACCGAAGGAGGAGGGGTGCTGAGAACACGCATATGCGTACACTAAATAGCACCTAGTGGGAGGGGGGGGGGGGGGCAAAAATACAGGTAGGGCATTTTCTTTCGTCTGCGAATTTTCACATCTTTCACTCCATTATCGTCTGGATGTCTCAAATGTATCTCTCTCTCTCGCGCGCGCTTCCCCCCCCCCCCCCCTCTCTCTCTCTCTCTCTCCCTCTCAATGTCTCTGTCTTTGCCCTCCTTCCGAAAAATATAATTAGTCGAGAGTCGGAATACATTACTCATGAAATTTTAAAAAATATATATCTACCACTTACAGTTATTGTCGTGATCGCCGAGCATGTCAGAAAATGATCTGACTTTACCTCCTTCATCGAACCATTCTTTAACATCAAGCTGGTCGTCACCGTTGATGTCGAGTACTTCGAAGAGTTTCCTGCCGATGTCGATATCGTGCGCGTTCTCATTTTCGATGCTGCGTCTAAAGCTATTTTTTGGAAACAAAACAAAGGAAATTATATCAACGTTTTGAGCTGTGATAAGAGATTATTAATAAGTTTGGCACAACATAATTCTATTATTATTATTAATCATGTTGATTTATATATCCAAAGTAACAGCTTGAAAATGAGGCCCGATTTTAATGCCACATGTTTGTGTAGTCCTATATACATAATCCTGTGTACAGTGCTGGTTACTTTACCAAGACTGAGCCTACTTTTTTATTATTTTGATGACTCCAGAACCTTCAAGTACACATCAATACTTAAATGTTACATGATCAACTTTTTCTGATCGATTCCATACCGTTTCTTTCACAATGCAATCGCATGACCAGAACTCAACTATATCTTTAATTGGTGTAAGGAAGGGAGAGAGAAATAGAAAGAGACACAGAGAGAGAGAGAGAGAGAGAGAGAGAGAGAGAGATCAGGAACAGAAGACAGTTATAATGTGTCACGTGACGTACCGCCATTCAAACCCGATACCAACGCCGCCATTTTCGTAGAATGGGTACATCTCCGAGTTGGGGCCTAGGTCTACGCCAAAAGGGCGACCGGAGTTACTTGTAGGGATAGAGAAACACGCAAGTGAGGTGGCAATCAGCTGAGCAAGGAGAAGCGCTGTGAAACGACCCATTTCTACTTTGCCATGAAGAGAGAGAGAGGGAGGGAAGAATGAGGTATAGGATACAGAAAGTAAAAAAGGAGAGAAGGATGAGGAAGAGGGGAATGAAAGATCGATAGAGAGAGAGAGAGAGAGAGAGATTAAAAGCGAGACCATAATGATCGAACACGTGTTATCTGATCATTACAGAAAATAGTTATTGGGCGTTACTATGCGTATATGGGATATCAGATATTGCCAGAATCTGTTCCCAATATTGATTGATTATCAACCAAAATTTGTCCGGCTCTTGCCCGAAAATATGGATACAATTTTTTGTATTCCATTTCGTTTATTTTATTTTCAAATCAATACAAGACAAATGAAAATATATTATGTACAAGATTCAACTGACAAAATCAACTTTTATCTCCTCAAAAGTTGCATAATGCACTACATAGGCCTATGTGAGAATAGAACATGACAAGGGAACCTATTTAAAAGCAATAGCTTGTCGTGAGCAGGTTCTCTTAATTATTAAGTTAACATTATCAACCCGTTAAAATGTTTAATTGATGTCATAGGGGGAACAAGAAAATAACAAACAAAATATGTACATGTAGATAATACAGGAAATAGGGATAAGAAATGAAGAAGGAAAGTAGAAAAAGTGTAAACTAGTCACTATATATATTTCAAGCCGACACACAATGTGTGCACCGTCTCCACTCCCAGTGGGGGTATTCACTTGCCATGACAAATTCAGTCCCACGTTATCCCATCCTACTATATGTCCCTACTTTTCTCTTAGGTTAAAAGGCAGCAGTGTCGATAAAATGCCTTGCTGACGGACATGCTGGAGGCTCGAACCTCGGGCCCTCTGTTTGAGAGCGGGGTCCTCGATCCACTCGACCATGATACCTTAAAAAATATATAGCCTGTACATTATAATTAAACAGAAAAGGTTATGAAATTCAGGGAAATCTGTCAAGTAGTGAATAAGTAAAACTCTATGACTTGAACTAAACTGAACTGATCTACTCACCGGTGGTATTTAGTTCTGCGATGGTCCAAAGTGAACGACAGAGGAGGAGATCTTGAGAAATTTTGAAGCAGACGGTCGTAAGATAAACAACAAAAAGCAGCTATTGGAATAATCGTGAGTGGCTCGATCTAATATACTCTTTTCTCGCCAAAAAAATAGATGATTTTTTCAAAAGATTAGTGCACAAGTTAGGAGTGGTATAGCTGGAACCGAGCCAAAATAATGTCGTTTGATAAGTGTCATTTAAAAAAACAAAAAGCGTACACGTGGCAGTTATATAAAGTTCTGATTGGTCACAATGCTCCCCGTTTGATATCCTGAATGGACGATGGCAATGCACGTGATCAAGGATGAAGTCTCTGATTGGATGACGGGCGAATTTCCTAGCGTGACATATTGGGAAATCGGTAAGTCAAGCACACGATCATCACAAAGTGGGAGGGTATTCGCTCCATCCCTTTTGATTCGATGGCCGTATACTAAGAGCGAGCTCTGATTGGACAAAGTACAGACAGAATTAAAGTTGGCATGCAGGTTTTAAGCTTTTTTTTCTCCAGAATTCAGACGATTGTCCCTAAAATGGTATAACATTATATTGCGTCATCTGACTCTCTTCTCGATACATAATATAGTGTATTTTATATTTCGCCAACACGCGAGAGGGTAAAACCCCTGATTGTACCGCTCAACTCCCGCTATGCCGGCTACATCCTCTGCGCTATTTATTTTAGATCCGCGAATTCCCCAACCCAGGTACTCTTCAATCAATCTGTTCTGTCACAGTGGTTATTTATTAAACATACAAAATGTAATACATGACGAATGTTAGTTTTCGGGATAATGTAGAAAACAGGCTTAGGGCCTAAATATACCCCGTACGCCCTTATGAAGATGATTGGTACTACAAAATCGGAGAATCGCGTTGAAAAGAGACATACTAAAGCTTTTCGTCTTGCACTCATCAGGGTAAATCGCAAAAATGAACAGAAAGCCGAAATCGAACAATATAAATGAAAACTAAAGGAACAGAAGGCGCGAAATATAACGAGCTCTGATTGGCTGTATAATCATTTATACGGTTTCTTGTATTATTATATAAGAAACAGTAGAAACATCTCGTCTGACCCATCTTAGACACATTTATGCAAGCAATCACTTAGGTCCTACTAGTGTTTTTTTTTAACTAAAGGTAGTGCATATACCTTTAGCAAACGAAACCAAAGATAGTAAAAGACTTCAAATTCAAATTTTTCTGTGCAAACATATTTGCAAATAATTTTTCAATGGGGGTTCGAAGCTGTATGGCGCTAATGGCATTGACAAATTGAAGAGCTGCAGTTTTCATATTTCATGATATTTCACAATATTCAGACATGACAAGAAGCACTGCCTAAAGGTATTTATACCGGTATGCTGCGTACATCAATGGTTCCCTATAAGCATACATGTGTAATACAGGTTTGTGAATACATGCACCAGGGACCTCCCTGCCTGCATGCACTAATGATGTCATTGTACAGTACTTTGCTACAGCAAACTGTTGTTTTTCGCTATATAAAGGGTTTGTTTGGTGTACATACTTCTAAAAGCACCAGAACAGATTAATTTCGTGAGGTATAAAGAACGTTTAATTTAAATGATAAGCACATTCATGAGCCACTGTATATTTCTGATACTATACAGTGCGTCCCAGAAAAAACGAAACCGAGAATTATCGATGATTTACCTTCACTTAATCACACTTATAATTGATAAATGACACATATTTGGAAAGCTTAGATCCTCCTCTTTCATTTGATGCAACTCTTATAATCCATATTTCGCATGAGTGATTAAAATGATTTTGAAGAGAGGAAAACAAAAAGCCATTTGGCGGACGGTATCTGAATTTCAAAGAGAAAATCACATTTCTAGAAAGTTGAGTTTCTGCCATTTCATATGACACCTCAGTCAGGAAAAATGAGCTAGGAATAACAAAGTAGTGCTTGCATTTCCATAATTTTATTAAACGAATTCGTTTTCACTGGCTGTCTGCTGTAGCACCAAACGGAATTAACAAAAGACTTAACTCCGTTTCGTTGACAATCAGCCGTAGACGAAAGACTGTCATTCCTTGCTCATCTTTCATGATTGAGGTGTCATATGAAAGGGCAGAAACTCAACTTTTTAGAAATGTGATTTTCTCTTTGAAATTTAGATACCGCCCGCCAAATGACTTTTTGGTTCCCTCTCTTCATATTCATTTAAATCACTCATGCATCATATGAGTTGCACCAAATGAAAGAGGAGGATCTAAGCTTTCCAAATATGTGTCATTTATTGATGATAAATGTCACTAGGTTATTATAAAACATCGATAGTTCTCGGTTTCGTTTTTTCTGGGACGCACTGTATATTCAATTTACCAAACGAGATGGGTGTCCATGCTGCGCAGCTTTGCGGAAATCAGGGGTGGTATCATGTTCGGTAAGAAGGAAGGACAATTTTTTTCTGCCATGCTGTAAGGGAAAACACTGATAATGGCATGTATTATTCTACTGCTGTTATCCTTTTCGAATAAATTGAAACTAATTCATTTCATTTTATTCAAAACCACACAAAATATGATATAATCTTTAACATAAAAAAGACTGGTAATAGTACATTAATCAACAATATATTAACTTGATTACATAAAAAAAGACCCCTTAAGAAGCTAAGCCTGTGAGCGGAGCCTTATAGATAACCAAATACAACAATATGGCAAGGAGAATAAGAAGAATGTAACATATATACGAGGGATGGAAATACTAAACTACATAATATAGAACACATACATATTCACACACACGCGCGTGCGCAAACACACACACACATACACAGTAAACACACTGATGAGTAGGTCCTTAGTGGTCAAAAAGCATTTAAGAATGAGAAATTATTAAGAATATTAAATTATTTCAGTCTTTCATATAGGTACGTTTTAAATAACCTTCTAAACCTAGAAAGAGTTGTACTATTCTTTATGTCATCATGCAAACTGTTACATTCTTTAATGCAAGAGATATGGAAAGAGGTCAGAGTGACATTTTTTCTTGCAAAAGGCTGATGAATAAGACCCCTTTGACGTGTATTATAATAATGAATTCGTGAGTTCTGACGGAATAAATGCTTTTACGTACATTCATGAGGCATATAGACTAAATTTTAAACATAAACAATACGCAATTGAACAACATAAGTCCACTTAGTGGTAACATTCTTAGTCGGAAGAACAATGGAGAACTTGGATGTCTATAATCAGAATTAGTAATAAGCCTTATTACCTTTTTCTGCAATACTCTCAACTTATCAAGATAATTATGACTTAAAAGTTTTTACCCAAGCAACATTACAATATGTCAAATAAGGAAGAATAATAATATTATATAATGTTATCAGCACTCTTTCGGGTAAAATAAATTTTATTCTAAAAATGACACCTACACTTCGGGACAACTTTGTGCATACAGCATCTAAATGATTTTTCCAAGATAAATGCTCATCCATAGTTAACCCTAAGAACTGAACATTTTCACTAAGCGCAACATCATGGCCTCCAACATTAAGAAAAGTAATACCATCTGGAAGCTTTTTACCCTTTGAACGAAAAATGACACGTTTGGTATTTTGAACATTCAACAATAACTTATTACAACAATACCATGCATACAGTTTCTGAATCTCTTGATTTGGTATTAGTAGTAATGAGAGTAATGTTGATGAGTGTATCATATCGTTTATATAGATTTAAAAAAAACAGAGGACCAAGAACAGAACCCTGAGGTACACAATATTTAATAGAAGCAATTTGGGGACTAGTACCATCCACCACAACAAATAGAGTACTGTCAAACAAATAGCTTCGGAACCAAGACAATGCTACACCATGTATGCCATAATGCTTAAGTTTCCTGAGGAGGATGCCATGGTCAATGGTATCAAACGCCTTAGATAGATCTAAGAATATCCCCAAACAATATGTGTCTCCATCAATAGCTTTTATGATATTACTTAATAAAAATTAAACACATCCATTTGTGTGGAGAAGTGCTTACGAGAACCACACTGCTGAGGAATCAAGATATTCTGTTTAGATAGAAACTCATTTAAGCGTTTATAAATTATTTTCTCAAGAATTTTAGAAAGATTGGTTACAATGCTATTGGCCTATAATTAATTACATTTTTATGATCAGATTTGTTAAACACTGGTACCACTTTGGTAACCTTGAGTTTATCAGGAAAAAGTCCCTGAGATAAAGACATATTAATGATTTTACATAAGGGATCAATACAAAGGTGAATGCACTCCTTTTTAATTTTAGGTGAAATATCATCAGAACCACTGGATTTAGATGGTTTCAAAGATGACACGATATCGATGATCTCAGATTTTAAAGTTGGTTTTAGAAATATAGATGCATTATCTTTACACTGTATGATGTTCTTGTATCAATTTCAGGTCTCCTTGGGGCTGTCATGCTGGTTACATTGGCCACATCCAAAATAGCCGCCATATGAGTAAAAAGGTCATGTGTAATAAAAAAAATTTAAAAAAAGCTGGTATGGTAAAAGTTGATATATCCATGGGGTTTTGGGGGTCGGATAATCTGATTATGATGTTCTTTTATCGATTTGATGTCATCATTCTGTCCTATATAAAGCTACAATGAAGTCCATTTCCTTGTCAAAGAAGGGATTTTGGGTGTGCTTTAAATACATACAGTGGGTATTTCTTGGAGCCTCTGACCCGGCCACTCGGTTAGAGATTAGTTAATGTCTGAACCCAGCTAAGCTCCCCTTGGTGCCGACGTATGGGCGAAATCCAGTATTGCCGTCATCTTTATTAGATGGTAACGTAGTTAAACATAGATACGAATAACATGATAATATTTAAAGGTTTACAGGGTCACAGACTACAATCATCATGTTTTCTTTATGAATATGACACCAGGATGCTTTTTTAGTGTAGATAGGTGCCCCAACTTTACTCATCCCCCCAAAAAAATAACCCCGCCCCTACAGCTTGAAGTACCTGAAAAATTATGCCAAGTGGTGGAGAAGGGATCACTTCTAGATCTTAAGTTCCAGCTGGATACTGTTTTCTTCTTCTTTGACAACTGGTTAGTCCCATAAATTTGGTATACTTTCTTTTATTTGCATGTGCACCCACTTGATAATGAATGC